ATAAGAGAGTGATAGTAATTCTTATCAATTATTGCTGATGATCTCATCGCTCTGCAGTACAATATCAAAGTGGTGTGATGCACTCTTCTCGCTGTAGCTAACTGCCTTCTACAAACTGCTCATCATGAATTAATCAGTGCATTTTGTAATACAACATAGAAGTCTCCACTCTCAAAGTCACTCCATACTTCAGTAAATACTATTTGTCTACTCATCTGTACTGTCTTTGAAAAATGTACTATGTGTGTGCAATCAAGTTCCATTGAGCCTAATAACAGCATACACTATAATTCTTTGTTCTGAGCTCTGTAAATTGAAGAAAGGTGAAATATCATGAGCTGCAATGAGTTATTGCACATCCTTCAGTTAAGCCAATGGGATGGCGTGACTTGCACATCTTTAGTTCATCCAATGGTGAAGTGCTTTAATATCTGTATTTTTCATCCCTCCTAGGTATGCACATCACTCATTACATGCCCTAAACAAATAACATCTAAATATTCTTCAAACCTATTCTTATGCTGTAAGGATATCTGCAGGAAAGAATTGGTAAAAATGTCTGATACAGCAAGCATTATAAAAATGTTTAAGGTATTCAGTTATAATAAAAAGCTAAATATTTAGGTATTTATTATATTTGAAATGTTCCTGCTCTGCTGTGACCCCCGTAGCCTGTCTGGGAATGCCGTGACTGACAGATGTAAAGTCTAAAAAGGAAAGAGCTATTTTTGCAGAAAAAGTGTGAAAGGACATTGATGGGATCACAGCTGCCAAGCAAACAACAGTGCTGATTCTCCCTGAGCTCCACTTGCGTGCCAGTGCACTTTAACCAGTCTAAGGATCACCGTGTCCTAGCATGCAAACTTCTGTTATCAACTCTCTCCTACAGTAGCCATGTAGGATGGACTCAATGTAAATGTTGGTCAATACTATACTCACCATACATGTTGCATTCTTGCACAATTAGCCCATTGCTAATCATTGGGGTGAAAATTTGCTTTAGCATCTTTAAAAAGAAGGTTGCATGTAAAGCATTGTTTATTATTTACAGTATTAACCGCTTTCTTTTCTTCCTGCTGCCCAAAGAACATGCAGATTTCTTTACAAATAAGTTAAGCAGTATGTGGAATAGTATTTGATGAAAAGGGTACCAGAAGGCCAGTTGCACATGGATGTGACACTTTACTGATGCTTAACATCAGTAAATAGAATGATCCCCAGCAAAATGTTCTGTAAAGATCCTGCATATATGTGCATAGTGTTGCAGTATACATGTAATTTACTGCACTCAAACGTAATTCTGAATTCTGTTTGTTGGTTGTAAGTATGATCTTTTGCACTTTAGAGCTACAATTTAATGAATGTAAAAACATCCAAATACCTAAACATATTAAAGAGGAATTTCACCCTTCCCCATATTTTTTTTTCCCTCCCCTGCTTACTTGATGCTGGGCTGTGCACATTTCAGATCTTCGCCCACACAGCGGATCCAGCATTGTCCTACTCAGATTTCCTGAGTCACACACCGTTATGTTTGTCTGTGATGTCATGGGAAGGCTGTACCAGCTCCTCTGTGTTCTGGCGCAGCCTTCTGATGACATGCTGCTAGGCCCCCCCCCCCCCCCCTCCTCTGTTTGTGAAGTGGGTGCAGGGATCCCTGTACCTTGTGGGATATGAACGTCACATTCCAGGAGGCATCGGGGTCATTGACATAAAAAAAAAAAAAAACCCAAAAAATGTACAGTTGTGTTCAAAATAATAGCAGTGTGTTGAAAAAAAGTGAATAAAGCTCAAAATCCTTCTAATAGCTTTTATTTCCATACACACAAATGCATTGGGAACACTACACATTCTATTCCAAATCAAAACATGAAGAAAAATATATCAAATTTGTGTTGTTCCTCTAAACAAATTGAAGAAAAGTGAATATTAGACTGTTCAAAAAATAGCAGTGTTTGTATTCTTCTTTACAAACTCAAACATTCACTATATAAACTGAAAAATGTTTGAAGATTTTGCTTTCCTTTGAATCACTTAATTAATATTTAGTTGTATAAGCACTGTTTCTGAGAACTGCTGTACATCTGTGTTGCATGGAGTCAACCAACTTCTGGCACCTGTGAACAGGTATTCCAGCCCAGGATGATTGGACTACATTCCACAGTTCTTCTCTAATTCTTGGTTTTGCCTCAGAAACTGCATTTTTGATGTCACCCCCCCAAGTTTTCTATTGGATTAAGATCCGGGGATTGGGCTGGCCACTCCATAACGTCAATCTTGTTGGTCTGGAACCAAGATGTTGCACGTTTACTGGTGTGTTTGGGGTCGTTGTCTTATTGGAACACCCATTTCAAGGGCATTTCCTCTTCAGCATAAGGCAGCATGACCTCTTCAAGTATTCTGATGTATTCAAACTGATCCATGATCCCTGGTATGCGATAAATAGGCCCAACACCGTAGTATGAGAAACATCCCCATATCATGATGCTTGCGCAACCATGCTTCACTGTCTTCACAGTGTACTGTGGCTTGAATTCAGTGTTTGGGGGTCGTCTGACAAACTGTCTCCGGCCACTAGACCCAAAAAGAACAATCTTACTTTCATCAGTCCACAAAATGTTGCGCCATTTCTCTTTAGGCCAGTCAATGTGCTCTTTGGCAAATTGTAACCTCTTCAGCACATCTTTTTTTCAACAGTGGGACTTTGCGGGGGCTTCTTGCAGATAGCTTGGCTTCACATAGGCGTCTTCTAATTGTAACAGTACTCACAGGTAATTTTAGACCTTCTTTGATCTTCCTGGAGCTGATTGTTGGCTCAGTCTTTGCCATTATGGCTATTCTTCTATCGAATGGTAGTTTTTCGCTTTCTTCCATGTCTTTCAGGTTTTGTTTGCCATTTTAAAGCATTTGCGATCATTTTAGCTGAGCAGCCTATCATTTTCTGCACTTCTTTATATGTTTCCCCCCCCCTCTCCAATCAACTTTTTAAAATCAAGGTACGCTGTTCTTCTGAACAATGTCTGGAACAACCCATTTTCCTCAGAATTTCAGAGAGAAATGCACTGTAACCAGCATGTACAACATTTGCTGCCTTCCTTCCTTAAATAAGGGCAATAATTGCCACTGTTTTTCAAAGAATGAATGACCTCACTAATAGAACTCCACACTGCTATTATTTTGAACATGCCCCTTTCAATTAGTGATTTAATTACACAGAAAGCAGCATGCAGCATGACTTTATTCTACTACACTAGTAAATTATTTACCATGTAGAGAAATATAATTTCTACCAAAAACAGTGATTGATCAGGTTAGTGATGTCTGACTGCTATTTTTTCTGAACACAAACTGTATATGCAGCAGAGAGGGACTTTGGTGGGTGGTATGGAGAGAAGATCCGCTTTAAAGGATGGCTGTCTCCTCCCAAAAATAAAATTAATCTAGCCCTTTTTTTTTTTTTACTATATGTATAAATGCAAAAGTGACCAGCCTACTTTTAAGTAAGGTATGCAAATGTATTTCTGTTTCTAGTTACAAAATTTATATGAAGGCAGCCACATCTCTTTATTACATATTTCTGGGGTGGTGGAGATCAATGATCAGGGCGTAACCACCAGTCCTCCTGTAGGGGGCCAAGGCCAGCAGGGGGGCCAGGCAGCTGGGTCAATCGGATGTAGGCAGGGAGGCTGACTGGAACAGAGAAGGGGCGATTACTGAAACCAATCCCCTGTATGGCTCTTTCTGCAGCAACTGAAAGCTGACTTCTTCTCCTTTCCCTCCTGTCGGCTTTCACCTGCTGCAGAGAGAGCCATACAGGGGATCAGTTCCAGTAATTTTCCCTCGGCCACACCCATCACCCTCTCTCTGCACCATATGTTTCCCCCCTGCTGCCCAGGCCCCCATTGTGTGCCTCCACCCCACAGTGCTGCCAGCTTCCTTCCTTTCCTTCCCACTGGCAGCTGCAGGCACTAGGACAATAGGATCCTTCAGGATGTAGAGTGGGGGAAGGTTCCAGTAAATATGGCTCATTTATCAGCCCCTTCCTTTCCTGAATGAACACAGTGAGGGATCAGTACTGATCACTCATGTTCATTCATAACTGAAGTATAGTAAACTGTGGGTTTTTGTGCCTGGGGGGGGGGGGCTGTCAGCTTGGCTGTATGGGGCCCCGTGGTTTCTAACAGCAGCCCTGTCATTGATTGTTTACCCTAATGATGCAAGTTGGTTAGTCTGCAAATTAATGCATTCTCCAAAACATTTGAAATCTTAGTTATTCTTTAATATATATTACCTAGTATACTAAAGGGAGAATATGCAAACAGTTAAAAGATTAACGCCAAGCAGATATAACAGTCACAAATTTAAGTAGCTCTGTATTCACTGATGCATCATAAACTATTTTTTAAATGCAAGCAGTACCTGAATTTGACCTGTTAATAGCCTTTTGTAAACACATGTACAGCAGAGCTCAGTCTGAGAGTGGAAGAAGAAACACAGTGAGACAATCTAGTTGTACTGTAGTACTCGTGTTAACCAGCATGCTGACAGGAGGGGAGAGCAGAGTGACAATAGGGTTCATCTGTTCACTGCTTAGGGGACTTGTTAGTGTTACTTGACCGCAACAAAGAAAAATCAATTCTTCTGCCCTGCCAGGATACACTGTAGTTTCACAATCAAGAATTTACCTGTCTTCATGCATTTAAAGATGGTTTCCTCTTACTCTACTCTCACAGTGTCAGCCATATAATTTTCCCATCATTCATTGCCTGGAGAAAGTTTTTAGTAAGCTGGGACTTCATGTAAAAAAAAACTGCAGTTCAACTGACAAAGTACTTAAGTCCTTTCCTAACATACCTACGAAAAATGACAAATGGGATCTGGTTAGGGGTCAGTAAGCTAATGAAATCATTGAATGTGTTCTTAATCTGAGTCATGGCAGATTTCAATACTCTTTTTTTTTTTTTTTTTTTTTTTTTATTTTTTTTTGCTTTATTTTACAGGACACGGGAAAGCCTGGCTTCCAATACTTCAAGTATTGTGGAAAGTAACAGACGGCAGAATCCAGCTCTGAGTCCTGCCCATGCTGGTGCTGGCCCAGCTTTTAACTTCCGAACATCTGCTGCAGAAACTACAACAACGGATGCTGATAAACTACAGAAACCCACTAACTGTTTGCAAGCTTCTGTAACTAGTGTTTGATAGCCGCTCAGCCTCAAATCTTGTTCTGTCTCATCCTCTACAGCAAAGTTTACTACACTGGGACCGATGTTTACATCTCTTTACAAGCAAGCCTCACATCCACAGCTTTTGTGTCTTTCTAAAACTGTGCTGCTAATTAGCCCAGGGGGCAACAACAAGAACAAATACCAACTTGTTGCATTTTCTTTTTTTTTTTTTCTTTTTTTTTTTTCTCAGTTATTTTTATTTTAGATTTTAATTTTTTTCTTGCCCTCATTACTTTACAATCATGTAAAGCTCAGTAGGAAGTGAATTACAGTAGAGGTTAATATGCACATTATTCTTCTTCATGTAACTGTAACAGAGCACATTCAGGAGTCTAGACACTGTAATAATTTTTTTTCTAAATTATGTTCGTGATGCTGTGCGGCATACAATGATCAGTACTTCCTTTAAAGCAGCGGTGCTCGGTAAAAAAAAAAAAAAAAAAAAAGACAAAAAAAAGAGAAAGGAAAAACAACTTTGTAGATTAGCAGAACAGTTTTTATTCTGTTCTGTATCCTCCTTAGTTATAAAGACAGAGAGAAAGAAAGTCTATTTATTTTTACCAGTGTAAAAAAAATGTTAAATTACCTAATTTTAAACACATATATATTCCTACTTAGTGCCCATGATGTTAAGCAAATGTGAAGAACCAAAATACAACACCATATCACTCTGCAATAACTATTGCTACATCTGTGCTTCTTTATCTTCTTCTACAAGTCAGTGTGCTTCACATATGAATATAAAAATGTATTGGATGTGTTGTTCAGGGATCTGCATGCAGTATACAGAATGACAGTTGTGTTACTCTTGCTATAACAATACACTCAAGTCATTAATAACACAGTATTCTCATAATTCAGGCAAATTGAATAACTGTAACACAAGTTCAATGGAAAAGAATACCCTGTAGAAAACAAATTACCTTGGTCCTAATATTTAACAGTTTCTGACTTTGGAATATTGGTGTTTGGAATTTTTTAAGAGAGGCTATGAAATTGTGAGCAGCGAACCTCAAGAAGTAAATCTTTGGTTTTAATGAATTTCTGTGAAAAAGTAAGCGCTGGCATAGCTTACATCTAAGCTAATGGAACACATTGCCCAAGTAAAAGTGGGTGAAATAATACCATAATGTGTTTAGCTACATCTGTGGGTGTACAGTGAGAAAGCCATTGCTGCACATCATCAGCTCATTATCACACAGGTATTGCTATAATTTAATAACCTACTGATATTTATACATAAACTATTTCATTGTGATTAGTATTTTCTGACAGCATTTTATTGCCATGGTGTTGCAACCTTTTGCCTTGGTTTTGCAGGAAGGAACAATTGTAAAATTAAAATCCAATGAAAGCAGTATTAAACCCAAAAGTAATCATTTTATTATTTTTTTGCAGCTTACCAATACTTTGATGTGATGTCTGTTTTCTTTTTTAGGCTTTCTTTCCCTTATTTTCTTCTGGTGATCCAGCCAGTAAGCCAACAGAACAAGCTGTCCTGCAAATGTAGGAGTTAGTGCTGAGACAAACCATTTACCACTAACAGGGGTGCCTAATGATCAGCTTTTCTTTATTCACGTAAAATTATTATCCCAAAAGGAAAAACATTGTTGCAGTTTTTGCTTTTGTAACTGCAGTGTGAGCTGGAGTTAGGTTTCAATTTGTTACTGTATCTAAATCTGCTAGCATATCTAACATTCCCCTCCCCCCCAGGCTGATAGTGTTGCTGTTCAAAGGCGCCCCTGTGCTCTTAACACAAGGGACTCTAATACAGGAGGTGTGCTACTGGCAAGATCACTAGGTTAAAACAGAGGGGTAAAAAGCCTAAAAAAGAAAACAAATGCAGCCACCACGTTGAATGATTAGTAAGCTGCAATATATATTTTTGGTTTTAATACCTCTTTATGTTTTGGCATGGGTCAGCACTGAAAGGCAAAGGCAGTAGGTGGCTAGTAACATCCATGACTACAGTAGCAAGGTCACCTGTGATCTTTAAAATGGTGTGCCCTATGTTACAGTTACATAGGGATTTGGAGCATGTTTAAGAGAAACCATATCCCTAACTAACCCCAAGGAGCTCAGGTTGTGACAACCAGCTTTCAGTGCCCACTGGCTACTTGGCATTCTCAATCAATGTTGCTGCTGAGCTACCTATTTCTGTACTAACCAGATAAATTGATCTAGTCTTGGTAGCCTTAATGGTGCTTATACCAGTGGGATAACAAGCACTTATAATGGCTTCTCTAATTATTTTAGCAACCTTTTGTAAGTCATGGTATGTTATGACTGATGAAATGTAAAATCTGGTTACGTTACTGCAGTTTGCTTCTTGCACTGCCTGATTAAATCACCCCAACATGCTAAGAGAAGCCAGGGAATCTGTGCAGGGTATAGTTACTGAAGAGGAAAGCCAATAGCTTGATAGCGATGTCATGAACTGATTCAGTAGTTATGTCATTAGAAGCCTAAGGGCAGGAGTAGATGGGCTTTGAGATGGTGCTAATGGCATGAGTATGGCATCAGTTTGAGGCACTTCTGAGATCATTTAGAAATTGACAGGCACATTTAACCTGCAGATTACCTCCATATGACCTGCTTCAAGTGCAGAAAGTATGGGCATGCAAAACCATTTTGAAGCAAACCAAAGCTTATTGATACAGGGCTCAATTCTTCTGTTCTTCTATTTGTAGTCTGCCAAAAAAAAAGAAATAGAAGAGGATTGGGCTGTGTAGAGTAAAGGGCAGTAACAGCCTACATTGGCTTATAGAAACCAAATTTAAGTTCACTGTAGTCCAAAAAGGTAAAACTGGGCCCAAATGGTTTATGTGCTACTGTATTGAGTATGTTTAAGTCAATAAGCTCAGTATCTCAAATTCGTCCTTTTGTAGTTGCAATGAATGGGCTCACATATAACATTTTTCATATCTTGTATTCCTTTTCATTTTTGTATACCCAGCGCTGCTGCTTTAAAATGCCACATTTAGTTTCTCTGTCCACAGATATTTTTTTGACAGTACCAGTGAATTAGCAGCATAGCAGAGCCATAGGAAAGTTGAGAAACTATAGTGCCAAATATGATAGTACAGAGCAGTTTGGATTTCTGTATACATTTACAGCTTACTCATTTACACTGCAAAGTATTTAAACATTCAAATATTTTTCATTCTCCCCTTCATAATTTTCTCTTTACTTTTTCTAGAATCCCTGTGTGATTTTCAGCCATATGTTTTATCACAGAACAAAATATTGGGATATGTACTAACCCTCCGAACCTCAGTGTGTTGTCATCACATGCTCTCTAGCAGTTTCTAATGGAGCACTGAATATTAACATTATTATCTAAATCAAACAGAAATCCAGAAAAGCACACAGAAGGAATCTAGGAAGAGGAATATTTTTTGCATGGTTATTACAGATTGGTAAACTGAACACAGAAGCTCCATTAAATAGGAAATTCACCTTTTGTGGAGTTAACTTCCAGTAAAATTATTGGCTATGCTCTTCAACATAAGGCCCAAGCTGCATACATGATATTTAGTACAAAAGAGTAGGGACTGATCCACAAAACAGATGGAACAAATGGCTGCCTATGGTGTAAGTTACACAGGTAGCATGTAACAGTGCCTAAACACAAGTGATTTAAGTACTGTGATTTAAGTACATTATGTGTAATCAGCACAGTTGGAGCCATTTGCTTAATTTGTTTAAAGATCAAAAACTTCTTTTAGCTATTGATTTTTGCTAGCTAAAACCTGCTACTAAAATTCAACAGTGTAGTTCTACCCTAAGGTATGCAAAGCCATCACTTTTTTCATAGCTCACTATTGCAACATACACAGCGGCATTGCTGATGTGCTGTCTTTTGCTTGTTCTTCATGCACAGGAAAACACAAAGCTGTGAAGATGTTGCCAGTATGTATCTGCGTCTTCAGTAGCTTAGACATATGCAATAGGAGAATGATGCAAAGACTGTGCAAAGCATCCTATTCCTATTGCCATTTACATCAGTTCGACTGTAGAGGAACATAGAGAAAAGAATTAGATTTGAGCATGTTAGAGTGGGGAATTGGCGGTTAGCTGTGGTATTCAGGGATATTCTGCTCCATTAGCAAACCTAAATCCAAAAACTTTGGGATATCCCTAACTGAATATGACAAGGTTAGAACATTATACTCTGTGGAAGCATAGGCTGTAAGCTGGGAATAACATGAATCAGATAATCATTTGGAACAAATCAAGAGTGCTTACTTTCTTGAGGCATAGGTGCAGCTCCGGAAATTAGTTGATGGAGAATAATAGGTGACTTTTTTTTTTTCTTTGTTATCTGCATTTTTTTTTAAACTTTGTTTCTAAGGAAAAAGAAAGGCGAGTTTAGCCTAGTAATACGATTTCTTTCAAAAGGAAGGATATAATTTTATTTTATGTAGTTGTGATTGTAATGCCTAAATTAGGCTTCTCAAAATGACATAATTTGTGACGTTGATCGGTTGAACAGTATGAAGTATTACTGAACAGTACTTTTTTTTCTTTTCACATCATTTTTTAATCAATTAGTCACTAAAGATTCTTGTTTTTATTTTGTATTTTTTTTAAATCTCTGCAATCTTCAAACCTGCAAGATAAATGTGAATGTGTATTTCTGTTTTCCATTTTGTCAAGTGTGATTTACAGAATGTGGTAATGCAAAACACAAGATGCTGGAAACTTTGAGTCAAATACTGGAAGAACTTGGTATCTCAACTGGCAGTTGTTATGTTCTAGAACACTAGTATATTTTTTTGTAAAGGTAGTCTCAGCATCTCCCATTATCAATTTAATATTTCATTCGTTAAAAGAAATACTGGATCTCAGAAGAAAGCAGAATATTTTTTATTGATCCTTTACTAGTTCTCAAGCATCTTAGGATTTATTTTGTCTCTAGTGAATGGAAGTATCTAAGATATAGAAAAAGGCTTGTGTTTTGCTGATCTACTG